TGGAATGAAATTCACAACCAAGAGTTCAAGAATTTAAAATATGAATTAACCAAATCTCCAGTTCTGACCTATTTTAATCCAAAAAAACCAATTACTCTTACAGTTGATGCATCTAAATTTGCAGTTGGTTCAGCTATTTTACACGACAACAATCCTATTGCGTACGCCTCAGCGTCACTGACAGACACTCAAAGAAACTACGCTCAGATTGAATAAGAGCTTTTTGCAATTTTGTTTGGTTGTACCAAATTTCATGAATATCTTTATGGTTTAAAAGTTTTAGTTGAGACCGACCACAAACCACTTGTATCATTGTTTACAAAGCCATTATACAACATTCCTGCCAGGTTACAAAGATTTATGTTACGTCTACAGTGTTATGACCTAAATGTTCAATATAAACCCGGAAAACATCTTTATATTGCAGATACGCTTTCTAGAGCACCACTCAGAGAACACGCTTTAAATGAAATTGATAATGATTTGTCACTACATTGTGATTTGTTAATGAAAAGTATAAATTTATCTGATAGTCTTCTTAGTGAAATCAGGGAAAACTTAATTAACGATGAATCACTGCAAAAAGTGATTTCGTATATCAAAAATGGTTGGCCTTCCAATAAAAAATTAGTTGATACACTGGCTATGCCATATTATAACATTAAAGATGATTTGTCTTTTATCAATCAACTTTTATTAAAAAATAATCGTATAATTATACCACATCAACTTCGTCACAAAACATTAAATAGTCTACATGAAGGACACATGGGAATTCAGCGTTGTCAGAATTTAGCTAAAAGTTCTGTTTATTGGCCAAATATTAATCACGATATATTTAATTTAGTTTCTAGTTGTGAAATTTGTGCTAAATACAAAAATTGCAATGGCAAACAAGAGCTACTGCCTCATGATATTATAGAGTTGCCTTGGTATAAAGTGGCTTGCGATATTTTTGAATTTGAAAAGAAACAATACCTTTTGGTTGTTGATTATTATTCAAAGTACATTGAAATTGATATTTTAAACATGGGTTACTCTAGCAAGCATGTCATTACAAAATTAAAATCTATTTATGCCAGACACGGCATTCCTAAAATTTTTGTTTCAGACAATGGCCCTCCTTATAATTCAAAAGAATTTAATCAGTTTTGTAACGATTGGTCTATTGAACACATAACATCGAGCCCTCATTTTCCGCGATCTAACGGCATGGCAGAGCGTTCAGTTCAAATTGTAAAAAAATTATTGATAAAATGTAAAGAAACAAATTCAGATTATTACACAGCGTTATTGCATTACAGAACAACTCCTAAAGGTAATTTACCTAGTCCTAGTCAATTACTGATGTCACGTCAGTTAAGAAAAAAATTACCAACTATAGATACAAATTTAGAACTAAAAATTATGAATAATGAAAAGTACAAGATTCAAGTTGAACAAAATATAAAAAAAATGTCTGAAAATTTTAACAAAAAAGCCGTCAAATTACAACCAATTTTTCCAGGTGAAGATGTCATGTTTAAGCGTACACCGCTTTCAGTTTGGTATCCTGCAACAGTTGTAGAAAAATGTAAAGAACCAAGGTCATTTTTGGTAGAAGACAATGATGGAGTGATTTATCGAAGAAATAGAGAACATTTAATGAAAAGACAAAGTGTTTTAGACAAAATAGATGAAGAACGAGAGACTGTAAATCCAAATCAAAGTCCTGTTATAGATCTAAATTTAAATAATGAAAAAAGTGCAAATCAATATGTTACTCAAAGGGGAAGAAATGTGGTAGCACCTAATAGACTAAAATATGAATAATATGAAGATTAATATATGAATATCAAAAATTTGCTATTGTATTATTATATTGTATATACTTATTATTATATTATTAAAATAGACTAAAATATGAATCATAGGTTTAATATTATATTATTATATTGTATATATTGTATATACTTATACTTATTCTTATATTATTAAAATAATATTAAAATAGACTAAAATATGAATTATAGATTTAATATTAATATTAATATATAAATATAAAAAAAAAAAAATAAAAAAAAAGGAAGATGTTGTGAAGTTTAAAATAAGTACTCTTCATGTAACTCTTATAAGTAAAACTCTTATACATATTCTATATTTCACATTATTGTATTGCACATTATAATATAATAAAGACAGTCGTTACTAAACAGTACAGTAGGTAGGTGACGTTGTCGTCTCACGTTGCACGTTCTATAATGTAATGATTATAAAAACGTGTGTATACCGGCTGCGCCAATTAATGTTGTGGATCCGAGCAGAAGTTGTTGCTTCCTCTTTAACCAAACAATATACACCTAGTTGAGGATGTTGAGGTGATGGTGATGATGATATAGTCCTCCCAGAAAAACCCGTAAAAATAATACACTTTTCTTTAGTTATACAATGACACAATTACATTATTTATTTCCAATATATATCAGCGCTACTACGCTTCACTTTTCACTTTTTTACACTCTCCAGTTCAAATTTTGAACTCGTCTTATATACCCAAACTTGATGCAAAAATCCAATATATGACCTAGTTACTTTATTGGGTTTTTCCCATAGTTGTATAATTTATTTTGCTAAATTCGCAAAGTTTTATTATTACAAGAATGCTCCACATATTTTTGCAATTCTTCCGTATTCAATATTTTCAAAGTCACTTACATCATGACACCAATTACTAACCAAATACCAAAAATCAGCATTTCTTATCGTCGAACTGACGGTCTGATGCTTTGGTTCTAGTCAATAACTGCCCAGATGCAAACAACCGTTTTTTTTTTTTTTTTTTTTTTTTTTTTTTTTTTTTTTTTTTTTTTTTTTTTTTTTTTTTTTTTTTTTTTTTTTTTTTTTTTTTTTTTTTTTTTTTTTTTTTTTTTTTTTTTTTTTTTATTTTTTATTATGGCACTGTTTGGTGTTGTGTGTACTGCTTCCGCAGTTTTCGCAATGTTTTAACTTTGTGTATCCTTTCGATTTATTTATTACGTCTTTTATATTGTTCATTTGGATACACGAAATTTTTTTTTTTCTTTTTTTTTTTTTTTTT